GGGGGATGGACAACAGAAAAGTACATGAAGGGAGACGTCGGGCAGTGTAAGATATGACAAAATAATAATTATAAATTATCAAGGGTTCATGAGGGAGGGGGGAAGGAGGGGGCAAATGAGGAGCTGATACCGAGGACTCAAGTAGAAAGCAAATGTTTTGAGAATGATGATGGCACTAAATGTACAAATGTGCTTGACACAGTGGAAGGATGTATTGATTGTGATGAGTTGTACGAGCCCCCAATAAAATGATTAATTAAAAAAGGGATAAAAATAACTACTTTCCTATTGTGTTTTATTATTTAAGATGTTAAATCATTGGTTTGTGGACTGAGCTCTCGACTGATCAGTTCAACAAATATCAATTACGTTATCTCAGTGTTCGGTGTTTCAATGGGAAGATGCACCCCGTGCTCTCCTGCCTGCCCACACATCCTGCGAGCAGTCTCCCAGACAGAGCTGCTGCGCACTGGCCTCCTGGGCTTCTCACACACGTGTTCCCTTTTCTCAGGTACCAGCTGCTGCGCACAGGAGGGTTTGTGATCAGGAATGATGCTGATGGGCCGAGCTTCACAGACATTCCTCGTCTCTCTAGTGCCAACATGGAGGCAGGGGAACAACCGATAGCACATGTCTCCAAAAAACGGGTCCAGGCCAACAAGTCTTCAGGGGTGAGGGCATGCGCAGACCCAACCGTGCCGTAATACCTCCTGACACTGGTCCAAGTAGAGGAGGCAAAGGCCTCCTGTCGCATGTCTAACCAGAGCCAAGCAGGCTGGAAGCAAATCTTTTCCTTACTGTGGTATCAGCCTTGATTATACCATTGCTCCTGAATACAAGAACACATCTCAGGCCTATTCGGAGAAGGACTATGCTTGCTGAAGAGATTTATTTTCTTTTTCTTCTTTCATTCTAGGTAGAAAGCATATTCAAAATGTATCCTATCTGATTTGGTTTGAGTGTGAGAGTTTCTTCCAAATTACTTTACCTTAGAAAGAATAGTAAAAATTAAAAAAATAAATAGAAACATGTTCAGGAAAGTATAATGATTCTGCCTTTTAACAACTGATTTTTCTTACCTATTACACTTATGGAAGAATACAAATTCAAAATGATTAAAGTCAATTACGTTACCTGCACCTTGAATGGTTCAAATGTATTAATGGGATGTGTTAAGCCATATATAACTTTTTCATTTTCTGCCTCAAAGGTCCCTGAAAGAACAATATTTATGATATATCTTTTAACTTTCTGTGAATAAAGAAGATCATTTTTTAAAAAATCATATATTTTACTTACCAAAAATTCTATCCCATATTATCAGAGTACCACCATAATTTTTGTCTATGCAATAACGATTTCTGCCTATGAGTCAAAACATTAAAAAATAAAAGAGAAGTGAATTATTGTTTTGTTTTGCATTTTATAACACATTCACACATTTAGATTCAAGGTGCAACATGATTTTCTGGTACTGTCTTCTCACTTAACCACCAGAAACTAATCCATTGCCACTGAGCCAACTCTCACTCTGCGACCTTAGACGA